AACACTTAGAACTGAAATGCTGAATTATTTTCTGGCCCACTTAAAGTCTACTTTTAAATTCAATTTGATATTTAATAACTAATCACTGCGTAGCCAACCTTCTTGCAACAATCTATTTAGGGCAGCAACCTTGTTTACCATTGAAGCATAACCTGGGATTAAGATACACTGTAGCCTGATTGTACTCTAAATAGGTATTTCAGGAGCAGCTATAATAAGGTTTGTGTTTAAATCGTTGGCAGATAGTTGTGGTAGGATTTATAAATCCAGGTATCAGTAGAAATAGGAAGGAAAGTAATGAAACCTGGTTAATGATTGTTTCGGAAGTTGGTACAGGCTTAAAATACGTTCTGTTCAGCACAAAAATGAGGAAGACAAGCCCCATTATCCGATCTATATTTAATTAGAAAGCATTTAAGAAAATTAGCGACATAAAAATACGCCGAACCCTCCTCAGTGACAAAACCACTCATTTTGTTTGAGGTCGCTAATCATGAATTACAGCTATCATTGGAATAAACAGGGAATTTTAAATTCTCCTATCACGGTTCAAATAATCATTTTTTAAAATTAAAAATTGAGTTGATGTTCATATAAATGATAACAATTATTTTGGATTCGACAAAATTTGTTTTTAGCAGTATATGTTGTCTAGTTCATCAAAATAGTGTTTATCTTTTTCTTAATTTCCAACAAAATTTCAAGGAAGAATTAGATCAATCACTTGGCCGATACAATAGATTAGTCCCTACTTATCAAATGCAGCGTTTTCGTTTCAATAAAAAAGCAGCCATTGATTATTTGATGAAAACTAAACAAACGAACACAAATGAACAAGACGAACAACGTGATCGTAATACGATTCAAGATCAAAACAAAGACGACACACCACAAACTGAGGATAGTAGTCAGAGTTTATGGGATCCCCGTTATATGGCTGAAGTAGTGCGCGACTTTTACCGTGAATTGGCTAAGTCATGGGCGAGTATTCTACGAGGCTTTAAAGATCACGGATAATACTGAGTAATATCCCGAAATATTACTACGTATATTTATATCATAGTTAATGAGCAAAGCCCGCTCGGTCCTCAGGTTTGTAAATGTTTTTTTCAACTAGGCTTAATTGAGGTAATTAAAGGAATTATAGCACTTTAATATTTTTTAATGAAACAAAAATCTACTTTTAATGAAGGAGTTGTATAATTATGAAGTTGTAAAGTACAAGTTTCCGAAAAGTAAACATTGTTGCTACAGGATTTTCGGATTGTTTCAGTAGTTGATGTTGTCGAGAAATATCACATTAAAAAGGCATGCCAATTGAAAGCTGCGTTACATTTAAATATTTTCCGCTTTAAAGAATCCGTACTTCATCTAACCATTTATAAGATAAAAGTTTTTTTGTACAATAAATTTTTAAGATGCGCGCTAAACAATGCGGAGTTATGTTGTAAAGAAATGGAAGAGATGAGGCTATATAACAGGAATGTTTAGAATATAATTCTAGTCATAATATCATACAAATAGGAATATTTATACATAAATCAAAGGGAAAGTATACATAAATAACCATTGGTTTTTATTTTGGGCTGTAATTGGGATGGGTGAATTCGGTAGCACTATTGCCTACACGATATAAATTGCATATCTAATTCAGATGACTATCTCTGAACAATTGAATTCGCTGTTTCAGAGAATTAGCATCAGAGGTTTTACTACTCTTTATTTACGTTAGACCAATAATCAGACTTAATGACTGGCACATTCTTCAACACATTCAACATATGCCCCACTTTAAATGTACACCGATGACTAAGACATACTTGTAGCATTGTAATTATTGAATGTTGATCATTTAATTCAAGTAAACATCCTTCACTGTATTACAGATCGATTACACGTTCATTTCACTTTTCAATATTGTCAGGCTGTACTCACTGTGGAAACTGCTCGGACACCATGCCCAAAACAAACTGAAACCACAGAAATCAGTGTTTCAATATAACACCATTAAATTGTTGTCTCTACAATGACCAGCCATGATTTAACCTATGAACTATTGATACACTGTTCCTAATAAATGTGAACAATCCTTCATGCACATAGACAATTGTAATGTGTTGTATCTCAGAAAGATAATATTTCTCTAGCTTACAGTAGAATTTTCTGCACCTCAGTGTTCTACATCCGAACTTTTACAGCAAAACTAGGGTCGCAACAGCGTGAAAGGTACATCACCTTAATATGCTATATTTGCAGGCGGTGATTGATAACTAACTATGTATAAACGTTTATCTTATGATGTGGGTGAAGTATGGATGATAGTGTTTAGGATAAGCTAAAGTCTGATTACTTATCGAATGCAGTTATACAGTAGACCAGTTAAGTAAAAATGATTATTAATCACCTTTTGTATACAAAAGATTAATTAATCATAGAAAAAGTAAAAAGATCATTACACAAAATAGCATATCTATATTTCGCAAAATATTTACAAAATCAAACAGAAATCTGTTGGGGATTGTATTACCATCATCGAGCCTCGAAAACGCTCACTAAAATAAAAGAAAGTTTAAATCAATTCAACAATAAGAATATTGAAATGTTGGTTTGTCTGAAGTTAATATTTTTTAGAACTGACCTCTAGGGCAAAAAAACCCATTCTAAACAAACTGTAAGTCAGAATTCGGGGACTGAAAGTATCATATAAAAGAACATAAATAATCAGCCTTTTAAATAAGCGTGTTTGTGTCGGAAGAACAAGACTTATATCAACTATCTTTGGAGTTGTTTATATGATTTTCATATCGTCTACGAATTTCTCTGAATTATGATACGGGAAAAAATAAGTTTCATCTAAACTGTCAAAACCACAGTATAATAGAGGATAAAAACTTATAAACTACATAAACGTTTGTAAAGATTAAAGCCACGATTAAGTATTCAATTAAACTCCCGTGATAAATGGTAAAATTTCTCAATATTTGGATAACTAACTTAGTTTTTTTTATCTGTTATAAGTTTCGTCAAAGAATCTAAGAACATGATATAGGGGAATAAAATTTGAAGGGATACGACAGTACACATTCTGAATAATAACATTTTGATATAGCTCAGTTGTTCAGTACAGGTTTATGGACTCCTATTCGAGTGAGGGTTTGAGCCTGTGATATATTAGTTGAAAATCGAGTTTTTTTAGCCACTAACTCGCCATTTTACATATTAAACAAGAAGTAAAATTTTTCAACTTCCTTAACATATTTGACACAAAATCTTCCGTTCGTTTTAGTTGACATAAATGTAGGCTCTATATTGTTACAAAGTGTGACAGTGTCAGTTGCTTTGTTTTTTGTTAAACTACAATCCTGGAGATAATTCCGTTTCTTCGCGTGAAAACGTTATAGAGAACATATAAACTACTGGTGCGAAAGGGGGCTTTAAACCAATGGGATCTGTGTGACACAAATGTACCGATTAAAAAAACACGTAAAAAAGTTTACTATCTTATGCTGTCACAATTCACGATGGCACATAACAGGATAGTAGAGAAAAGCACGATATATAATGATTACATTTGAGCTACTGAAATAAATATGCAGTCATGTAATAATTATTCAAATCGCAGATCTAAACCGGCAAATTTGATGTGTAGTGCAGCTCACTAAACGCCCTAATATACGGGTGTGAAACATGGACAGTCAAAATAGACGATATTCGTGGGTCACTAGTTTCGATCATAGGTGTCTTCGAAGCACTGCTCGTATTCCCTTGGACAGGCGAGAAAGCATTGCTGTCGTTAGGAAACGGGTACTAGGTCGGGTGGCAGGTCCATTGATGAAGTATTGAAACTTAATCAGTTGAGGTGGTTGAGATATGTGTTGTGTATGCCTAACTACCAGCTACCTCGACTAGCGATGTCAGATGTAAGGGTAGACTGACAGAAAGCTAGAGACAGCAAACCAAAACATTGGGAAAATTCGTGAAGTCACTGACTAGACTGAGCCATGTTAGTCGGTGTAGACTAACTGGATGGGGTCTGCGAAACTATTGTAACCGCTGGTTAGAGACTTTGAATGATATAACTCAAAATCGCTCACATATTTTCTTTTCTTAGATTCTAATCTTCAAAATTCCTCATGATCTTTTTTCTTCTCAACTTTATTTCATTGGGTTATATTTCTCAGATCATCTTCGATCCCTAATCTTTTTGATTACCATTGATACTGCTATTGCCTCTACCACTATGGAATTTAAACTGACAATTTCATCTGTGCTGTGGCATGACAACTTGAACTGATGCACGTACGTACGAAATTCTACGTTGTAGCTGACCGATTGACAGAGTAAATATATATGGCCTGACGACCCTTCACACTTAATTAAACAATGTGCTAACATGAAAGTGGTACAAAATTTTGTCCGGCATAAAGTAATGACAGTGTATAGGATCATTAAGAATTGCTTCATGTTGCAAGTAGAAAGAGAAAAAGCTCCTACATAACTTACTTCGTTTTGACCGTTTCTTGTATAGGACTCTGTGTCCACATTCAAGACAACGAACAAGTTCTCTAGGTCGAATTTCGTTTTCAGCCCGACATTCTATAAGTAATCGGATCAAAAAATACGAATCATCATCGAAGATAATACTAGAAATTTGGCACGGATTTAGAAAATACACCGCATAATTGTAAAAAGTATAGATATCTCAGGAAATCTTTTTGTCATGATTGGACTTTCAAAAGCTCAAAAATCATGCTAAAATGAAATATTGTGACGAACAAATTTTGAATGTTAATATGCATGTGTAAAATGATTAGAATTCACCGACTAATCGACTAATAAGTAATTTATTAATCTGATTCGAAACTAACGTATATAAAAACTAAAGGCCGATGATATAATTGAAAAGCGGAAGACTAGTATACGGTTTTTGAAGTGAGTAAGTGAAGGTGACTTTACGTGAGATTAAAAATTTATTAAATCATTAATTTAACGTATAATGTTATTTTTATATCAGGATACAATAAACTGATAAAATGAATAAAGCGCGGAGGAAAATATAGAAATATAAGAGAAACTAAAGCTAAAGCGGGAAAATTGATTCTCCGCAAACCATTCCTACCTGTATACATGTCGAATAAGCCTAAGTACCTTCAATATTTTTTCAATAAAAGCGTATGTGCAACTATCCCCCACCGAAGCTGCTACCTTGACGTGGTGGTCGGGCTTGCCTATCGTGATGATCCAACCGAGCTATACTGGCTGGAACACATGTTCCTGCAGGTCCTACCATACCAGGCAGGTCAACTGGAGAACGATGAGACTAAAAGCAGCTAACCAAGGTCTGAGGGCGAAGTCGTACTGCTGACTGCAGAGGGGTGTGACAGCAGTAAGGTGTTTCCCTCGGACAACCAGCATCTGCAGCGATGCTGCCTTCTCACAAGGAAGGAAGGGTTAGAAAAGGTCGGCCCTAAAAATGTCACACCTCAACCTACCTCACGGATTTCCGTCTCCGTCGGTAAGGGTGCCCACTAAGGGCCTTTAAGAACGGAGCTAATCCTCAAAAATCCTTGCATAAAAAGGCCGTGCGTGACCGGCCTCAAGCAGTTGTCCCTTGGGCTCTGCGGTCACGCTCCCATGTCTCCAAGACCAACACTAATCTATCTTCCTTTTCAGGTTCCTCAAGAAACAACCTTCCACGGTGTGGGCAGCCGGGAAGTGATAACCGCCCTCATACCCGCACTTTGTCGTAGACATCCTCTTAGAGTTAACATTAAGCTCGTCAGATTTTTCAGGGGTTGACCTTCTACCAGGAAAGTCGCTTACTGATCTAGAATATGCCGATGACATAGTTCTATTCGGTGAAGACTCTGACAAAATGCAGCGTCTTCTGACTACCATAAGCAACAGTGCAAGCATGTTCGGGATGCGGTTTTCCCCCTCGAAATGCAAAATGTTGCTTCAAGACTGGGTTGCATTGGCACCTGAACTAGTGATAGGGAGTGAAGTAGTCGAGCGTGTTGATCACTTCACTTATCTTGGGAGTCTCATCAGTGCTGACGGCCTGGTGACTGACGAAATCTCAGCTCGGATACAGAAGGCTCGGCTGGCTTTTGCCAACCTGCGTCACTTATGGCGTGGGCGTGATATCCGTTCGCTAACCAAAGGACGGGTGTACTGCGCAGCAGTTCGTTCCGTTCTCTTATATGGCTGTGAAACATGGCCGTTAGGAGTAGAAGATGTTCGTAGGTTACTAGTAGAAGAAGCATTGCTCGTATATCATGGGACATCCGAGTAAGCAATGCTGTCGTTAGGAAACGAGTACTAGGTAAGGATGGCAGATCAATAGATGAAGTGGTGAAGCTTCATCAGTTGAGGTGGTTGGGACATGTGTTACGTATGGCTAACCACTGACTGCCTCGACGAGCTATGTTTTGTGGTGTAGGAGTAGGTTGGAAGAAAGTTAGGAGCGGCCATACCAAAACATGGCACAAATCCATGAAGTCACTGACAAGTGGACTGAGTCATGTTGGTAGATGTAGACTACCTGGTTGGGGTCCGCGAGACGAAAGTCATCAATGGTTAGAGACCTTGAACGACATGGCTCAAAATCGTTTGCAATGGCGCAGGTGCATCCACTCTTTGAGCTCTCTCAAATCCTAATCTTCTGGATTCGTCAGCACATCTACCTTTGTCTTTCTAACCTTATCTCACTGAATTATATTTTTTGAATAATATCTTAAACCCTAGTCTTCTTTATTATAACATTAATACCTCTACTATCTTTATCACTATGGGATTTGATTTGACATTTGCGTCTCTGTGCTAATGTGATGGTATGGCAACATGAACTTATGTACATACGTACGAAGTTCTACGTTGCAACTGACTGACTGATGTGCAACTATCAGTAGATTCGGTTCAATTCTATAAATGATTCCAAATGATACTTGTAATTCTTTGTGGCCTCTGTCAATCATGCGTTTTAGAATACATTGTATATGACTATATTATTTTTCAATGAGCCACACTAGTAAGTGCCTTTTTACACGCTAGAAGAGCATCGTTAATAAACGACCTATGTACTTAAGAGAATAATTTTCAGTCTTACTGTTTTTGAAGAAGTATACTTACATAAGATCAAGTTCAACTAATTCCTATAAATGAAAGGATAAGATCCTGAACACTGTAACTTATCTTTAAAATAAATCTCTTGTAGTAGCTTAGTCGTGTGTTGCTAAATGAATTTGTGAAATCTTAATTAATGTACATTTTTGTAGACTGGATGCATCATGAACGATCGAGATATCGGTGTTTGGTATCAAGACGTCATCTATGATAAAGCACCATTGAAGCACGATGTTTCCCTGAAGGTTTAAGATTATCTATTGCCGGTTATATTTGCTTATGCGCAACTAACCGGTGGATCGGTATAATTTGATTGTCAAGGTTTTGTCTGTCAAATGTGATGAGTTGTCTGATCCTAACGTCCTCATGTCAATCAGAAACTACGACTATCTTGAGGGTTTTGGATGTTAACCACAGGCGTCAATGATCATGGGCCATTGCGTTTATCTGGTTTTTAACGCCAAACTGGTATGGTTCTGAGCACTCTAGCACTAGTGCCGAATCCGCTGTGGTGTCAGCATAATGTTAGCATTGGCAGTGATGGTTTTACACCTTAACCTACTTATAAAATCTCACTGCTATGTTTAGTTTAATCGTACTTGTGCGATTTATTCTACTTATCTATTAATCGTTTGCTTAGCTCCTGGTTGTGACCTGTAGTAGAGCTAGTTGATGTTTTTTGAGCATTCGTACAATACATCGGGGGGTTACTGAAGGTCTTTCCGGACTAAATTCTTGTTCATCAAGTGCTGGAATTCGCTAATGCTCTGTAACAGACGTCATAGCTGCAACTAATGGAGGGTAGGCCAACCTGTATGTAACCAAAATGGTGAGCATGTATCGCTTTAACAGCGACAGCGGGTTGTTTTATAGTTGTATATTGGGTAACAGTTGTTTAAGCGTTTCGCTATCAGATAAAACGGTGGCCTTAATGATTTCTTGTTTTAGAACGTCTTTTGGTGGATTCACCTATGGTTTTAGTATTACATCATTAACTTACTTAATTATCACATTTGGTGGTAGAGTATATCTGAACTTCACCACCTAACGATTTTACGCACGGGAAAAATGTTTTCAAGCCTAGCGAACAATAAGCAGGAATTGCATGCTTTAAGAAATGGTACGGGTGAATATAAGGCATTCACTGAACGGGATTTAAGGAAAATAGGAATTAAAGGATCTCGAGACATAATAAGGAAAGAAGGATGTAACGTATCATGATGAACATAACAGGAACGAGTGAAATTCAAATAAAAGATATAAGAACTAAGAGTCCAGCTTTTAAATGAGTTTATATATAGGATTGTGACTCAGAAGATCCACGTGTAATATGATTTGTTATAGGATTAGCCACAAAGTGGTAAACCTGCAAACAAGTTTAAATAACTGTTCATTTTATACCAGTGACCGGCAATTGCAGATAACTGTGGATTATATTTATACATTACATTCGAATACTTCACTTCTACCTGACGTTTGTGCTGATGTCGTTTAGAAGAAGGATGAAAGCTTGACAACCAAAAAACCAGCTCAGAGAACGAGATTCTACCACAATCATCCACCTGAAATTCATATTTTCTCCACCATCTCAACATCACACTACAAGTTTATTTGCACTTAACTCTACAACTAAAGGATTCAAACAACCAGTAGAAACCGATTGAAACAATAAAAAGTTCTGAAGGATTCACGGTGACTATCAAAACGACTAACAAAGTCCAACACTTATAGTGCGTTTACTTGGAAGACTGGGTCTAAAGAATTGTTGGCCAGTCAGTTACAGTTAATGCATAATTTGATACGATTACTAGCTCAGGTTGGCAAAATAAACTAATTAGTCCAATAAGAGTAAATTAACAGGGTGAAAATGGGCAAACAGTAAATCCAGATGGAAATGTAGGCATGAGAAATAAAGGTTAACATGAGGCAAAACAATTTAGGAGGCGGAAAGTTAGAAGTAATGGGTAAAATATGAAGTTATATGGGGAACCGAACTGCATGCAACCAACTTCGAGAGATTACTCAAAATAACAAACAGTTACCTCACAGACTACAATCGGTAAACCTGTATCGACTAATATAGTTTATTTCACTAGTCAACAGAATCAAGGATCTAGGTTACTTAGTTCATCCCCCTTATTATTAGGGTGAAGTCCTAAATACTTTCAACAAAGCAGAAGATCAAGTGCCCAGAACTGTGCCAGTGCATATACAGTGAAGATATAGCACAAAGCACTCATTCTTTTCCACACCAGACGTTAAGTGATTGACATCATAATGGTCAAGGTTTGGAACGTTAAAAGTGGATTTCCCTGTCCGATACATAAACAGATAAGCTGTCGGATACTCCCTAACAAAAAGATAGACGCACGTGCAACGGTAAACAGAGAAACAAGTGTCTTGACAAGAAGTAACTCACCTCCACATATATACGAGACAGTTTTTGACAAATGGGGTGCAGCGTTTGCTGCCGGTGTAGCATTGCCTCCGCTTCTACTTTCCATTTATGACTTTACAAGCCACTAATGTTAGGAACTTTAGCTCAGCCAGATCCTGCAAAAGTGCAGTTCACCGCAGTAGTTGTAACTCGCGCTGAATAAGTAGCTTCCAATAATCAGTTAGTTGGCGCTCACATATCAGTGTTAAAAAAAAGTTCAAAGATTTTGATAGTTTCTATTGTGCAGAGACTATATGTTCAGCTTTGATAATACCCCGGTATTTTTTAAGGGTTGTCTCTGTCTAATGTGAAACTATATGCCAAGAATTTGGTTGTTAGTTTACAGCCGAAATAGTCAATTGTTTTACATTTTTTCGTTTATTCTGGTAGTTCAGAATGATTTTTGACAAGAGATAATGTATTTTAATAGATTAAAGGATGAAATAGTTTGTGCGAAGATGAGATCATAGAGCCAATGCAATGTCATTGAGATCTGACGAAATTACAGATCAAGTATACGACTGGTTGCCGAACAGTTTGTTGATCCTCTTCAAGGTTAAGGGTAACCGATGAGGGAAAATTGACTGCATGTCATGGTCAGGTTCATTTGGCAGCAATTGCGCCCTGTGGTTATGAATCAGGTCAATACTTTGCTCGTGAGTGACTTTTAGTTGAACAATTTTCACTGTGACTGTTACATTCTTTAATTATATTCTACACTTAGTGTACCGTACATATCTTCGCCGCATACATTTTTCGTATAGCGAGAACGTTGCCCATTTTATATCAGTTTTGATTAGTTGTCAAATTGAAATAACTGGAATAACCAAAAAATGTATACAACTACAATGATACTATGTTATCATGTTTGTTTTGGCAGTATTAGATTGCTCCTGTTGAAATACCGATCATTTACAAGAATAGATATAAGGTGACATAAAAGAACATCCACGTGCAAAGTATGCGCTTTGTGCGAGTGTGACTCAATGAGCTCTGAATTCCAAATTTATCTTCCTGTTTCTTCACTTCATTCTATACTTTATTTTCCGCCATGCTGAATCGGTCTGTAGCTCTGTGAATCCAGGAATTAGCTTATAAATACATAGTGAATAAACCATGGCAGAATTTAGACTTAAAAACCAGGTGTTGGTATAATTTCCCAGAACGAAACGTAGTGGAATACTTGAATGAAGAGAACGCGATTTATTTAAAAGAAACATTCACTATTATAACCAATTTTAACAGTGACCGTTTAACTGCACTCTTTGTTTATAACACGTCTTACGCACAACTTTCTGTTTGTGTTTATCCCACCTTCCTGGTGTAATTTCGGTGTTCTTTCGACATCACGAAATCACCAGCGAACATATTCTTTACCCTAGATTTATTTATCTTTGCAGTGACCGGCTCGTAATTAGTATTTAGTGGTGATCATAGTCAATCTCGACTCGATTACCACTAAAGAACTATCACATCAGCTATCAGCATATATAAATTCTATTTTTTATCTTGGTGACATCATAGAATACATCCAAACTTCCATAACTTACTTTGATCATTTTACTCAATAATCATTGTTCTGCTAAATGTCAAACATAGCGGCGAAGGAAAGACATAACAGCTCACACTTGAGACATGTTATCCATCGTACACCTATTAAGCAGGTGTATGAAATGGCGTTAATGGATTTAAACACCTGAAACGATACTGTCAGCATTTGATGAACCATCAGTTAACCAGCATTACATAACGTCGTGGTGGTGTTTCGTTCTCTGAGCTGGATTTTTTGGTTGTGAAGCTTTCAGTGTTCTTCTGAACACCACCATCAGCACAAACTTCAGATAGAGGTGAAGCATTCGAATTTCTCCACGTTTGACCTGTAGGATTTTTATGCGAACCTCGATCTTGCTCCGTTTCTGTTAACCTTAAACCTGTCGTTGTTTGCACCTTTGTTTTGATTGTATCCCCCTTTTGATCTGTTTCTTGATTCTATGTCACATATGATTTTCCTGATTGGTTGACAAATTGGGTCGATTTCCATGTGTTTGTTGACTGCTGATTGACCTGACTGCCAAGTTTCTAAAAATTCTCTAGTGTTCTTTGTCCTCCCCGTATCCAGTATTTCCACATTCTCCCAATCGAATGTATGTCCATAATTGTCGGTATGTATTGATATAAGCGAAGAGTTGTCGTGGCGTTTGACTGCTAATTAGTGTTCACGTAAACGAAACTGGAGAGGCCGTCCACTTTGTCCTATGTTGTGTTTTTCACAGTCTGAGCAATTTATTTTGTAGATGGTATTTGGTTTTTCTTCCTTTGTCATTTTGTCCTTTGGTCTACGTAGGATTGATTGGAGTGATTCTGTTGGTTTGTGTGCCACACCTATTCCAATTGGTTTCAGTAGTCGTGCTGTGTGTTCCGATGTCTTTTATGTATGGTAGGATGAAGCGTTTATTGGTTCCTGTACTTGATTTCGGTTCTGCTGACAATTTCGGTTGGTGTTTTTTGATGAAGTTGCGTGGATAGCAGTTCTTTTGGAAGATGCTTTTCCTTGTTTTTTAGTGCTTCATATGTGATGAAGTGTGTCTTCGCCCTTTTGTACAAAGTTTGTATGTAGCTGACTTTCTGGGTTCTTTGGTTATTGCTACCGTAGCTGAGAATTACGTCTGTGTGAGTTGGCTTTCGAAATACTTGAGTTTCCCGTTTTTCTGTGTTAGTTCTGGTGATTAGTACATCCAGAAATGATAGAATGTTGTTTGATTTCGTTTCCATCATGAATTTGATGTCATCGAAGATGTTGTTGATCTGGTTGTAGATGTTCCTCTGTAATAAAAAGACAGATCTAGTCATGTTTGCGACAATTTGCTAACCATCACTTATAATGATAACTGAGGCATGGACCTCCAGTAATACTTGTAATCTAACTACATCTCTTGAAAACTATGATCTATTTCGAAGTGATAGGTCACAAGGACGAGGTGAAGTATGCCTCATATATGCCCACTCTAGCCTAAACTCACTCTTATGTGATGAACTGGAACTAAACAAAACTATTAGATTCTTTGTGAATCGTTCTGAAACCCTCAAATGCACTTTCCTTACCGTTCGTCCGTGTTTACCGTCAGCCTAACGCACTTAAAAGGGATCTAACAGTATTATCGGAGGTATTTATGTTTGCTTCATACCTACAGTTTACAAGCAAGGCTATTTGTGGAGACATCAACATGCCTATCTATCTTCCTTTTCAGGTTCCTCAAGAAACAACCTTCCACGGTGTGGGCAGCCGGGAAGTGATAACCGCCCTCATACCCGCACTTTGTCGTAGACATCCTCTTAGAGTTAACATTAAGCTCGTCAGATTTTTTAGGGGTTGACCTTCTACCAGGAAAGTCGCTTACTGATCTAGAATATGCCGATGACATAGTTCTATTCGGTGAAGACTCTGACAAAATGCAGCGTCTTCTGACTACCATAAGCAACAGTGCAAGCATGTTCGGGATGCGGTTTTCCCCCTCGAAATGCAAAATGTTGCTTCAAGACTGGGTTGCATTGGCACCTGAACTAGTGATAGGGAGTGAAGTAGTCGAGCGTGTTGATCACTTCACTTATCTTGGGAGTCTCATCAGTGCTGACGGCCTGGTGACTGACGAAATCTCAGCTCGGATACAGAAGGCTCGGCTGGCTTTTGCCAACCTGCGTCACTTATGGCGTGGGCGTGATATCCGTTCGCTAACCAAAGGACGGGTGTACTGCGCAGCAGTTCGTTCCGTTCTCTTATATGGCTGTGAAACATGGCCGTTAGGAGTAGAAGATGTTCGTAGGTTACTAGTAGAAGAAGCATTGCTCGTATATCATGGGACATCCGAGTAAGCAATGCTGTCGTTAGGAAACGAGTACTAGGTAAGGATGGCAGATCAATAGATGAAGTGGTGAAGCTTCATCAGTTGAGGTGGTTGGGACATGTGTTACGTATGGCTAACCACTGACTGCCTCGACGAGCTATGTTTTGTGGTGTAGGAGTAGGTTGGAAGAAAGTTAGGAGCGGCCATACCAAAACATGGCACAAATCCATGAAGTCACTGACAAGTGGACTGAGTCATGTTGGTAGATGTAGACTACCTGGTTGGGGTCCGCGAGACGAAAGTCATCAATGGTTAGAGACCTTGAACGACATGGCTCAAAATCGTTTGCAATGGCGCAGGTGCATCCACTCTTTGAGCTCTCTCAAATCCTAATCTTCTGGATTCGTCAGCACATCTACCTTTGTCTTTCTAACCTTATCTCACTGAATTATATTTTTTGAATAATATCTTAAACCCTAGTCTTCTTTATTATAACATTAATACCTCTACTATCTTTATCACTATGGGATTTGATTTGACATTTGCGTCTCTGTGCTAATGTGATGGTATGGCAACATGAACTTATGTACATACGTACGAAGTTCTACGTTGCAACTGACTGACTGA